GAGCCACTTCACGGCTCGTGGGAAGGCTCGTGGAGGGGAGTTAGTGTGTGAGGGTTGAGGGAAGGTGGCTTAGCCACTGCCTCAATGCCCACGAAAGGGACCACGGCTCGTGGTAGGCACCACGGCTCGTGGTAGGCACCACGGCTCGTGGTAGGCACCACGGCTCGTGGTAGGCACCACGGCTCGTGGTAGGCACCACGGCTCGTGGTAGGCACCACGGCTCGTGGTAGGCACCACGGCTCGTGGAGCCCTCCGTGAAGATGCCTTGGAACTATGGGATTAAAGGCATAGTTGCCTAGACACTGCCTCAATGTCCACGTAGGGGACCACGGCTCGTGGGACCTCACGTGGTCCCTGGGAAGGTCAATTGGGTAATTACTATATTAATCCAACTTAAGTGAAGTCATTTTGCCTTAGTTTGGTACACCTATATAAATCTTTTTAAGTCAAAACTCGCCCATTCAAGTCATATTTTCCCAAAATCCCCAAAAGCTCTCCTCTCAAATATTCTTTCTCTCTAGGAGGAGGAGGAGAAGGAAGTTCATCTAGGATCAAGGTCAAGGTTCAATTCTTCCATTGAAGCTTAGCATTTGGCTTTGTTTTTAAGATATGGTAGTTTTCATCCATGGATAGCTTTCAGTCCTCTCAAAATCTCCAATTTCAAAAGATAGAAATCCTCAATTGTTAGGGTTTGATTCCAAAGTCATGCGTTCCTTTCAAACTTGATTCTAATGGTTGAATTATGTTATTATAAGAATGAATTGATGATTTCATATGAGTTTTATGATGTATCCCCAAGAACCCATGAAATTCCCATATTTCTCAAAGTTGATGATATGATGTGGGTCTTTGTTGATGAAAGAGGAATGTTATGAATTAATGCATGAGGTGATAGAATCACATGAATTATAATGATATCCATGTCTAATGCTTGAATTCTAGATGTGTTGATTGAAAGTAAGTTTTGAACCTCAAGGAGGTAAAGCATGAGATTATGCATGTTTTATGAAGTTTATGTAAATGGTTTAAGAACACTTTGAGAGTGAAGTGTTAATGATTATGTTGTTGTTGTAGGCTGATTGAAAGGTTATTCTCATGAATTCATAATGAACATAATGTGAAAGGTTATTCTCACATAATGAAGATTCTAAGGTTGAAAGGCTTTCTCACCTAATTGAATCAAAGGCTAAAGAGCCATCATAAATAGATCATGGATGGTGATAGTTGCTCACGCATGGTCTAGAAGAGTTAAGTTAATGATGTACCTTGAATCGGTACGCCAAGGGCACCCTTTCATGAGTAATTAAAAAGAGCTATTTTAATGATGAACCTTGAATTGGTAGGCCAAGGGCATCCTTTCATGAGTAATGATGTTAATAAATAATTAACTACCCCATGGGAAATTAATGCTTAGCACCGAGTGGATATTGTATGAGATGGAAGCTCTCCCGTAGACAGTTCGGATTTCTAGTAACAATCTCTTTATCCCATAAACTACGTGCCCCCATAGGATATCAAGCTAGTGGATCCACCTAAGCTAAAATTACTGGTTCTACCTTAGGCAAGTAGACCAACCCTTTTCGGTGTGGGAATCACCAGATTCCATGTTAAACCTCACATGGTCTCATGTCGGTTAAGGCTTATTTACCACAATAACAAGAAGTTTAATAATGAACTAAGGCATGCTTGAAGAAGTATACCGTAAGTGTTCAAAGGCTTTAAAGATGTTGCTAGTTTGCATTGAAGATGATGTTATGACTTATGTTTTCCAACTATCTCTATGATGATGTTTACACTTGGTAAATTGCATGCTTTCAAATGAAATGTCCCTTTTTGCATGTTTCAAGTGTTTTTATACATGGCTACCATACTTAGTGCATTTTTATACTAACACCTATTGTTGCCTACATTTTTCCCAAGTGTATGGTCCGGCACTAGAGGTGATCATACTTGTGGCTACAGCTTGGATTTGATTGTTCCCGAGCTTGGTGAGTCCTCATGGTTCGAGGACGGATTTCATATATTTAGTTTATTTCATGTACTTTCCCTTTTGGACATGTTGTAAGGGCTAGGCCCTATTTCATTCACTATTGTAATATATGGCTAGGATGAGACAAAGTGTCTAGACATTCGCTTTCTTTTATGAAAAAAATTTTGAGACTTGAAATGTGTTTTACTCTTATTATTCTATTTCATGTTATGAGGACTAAGTAGCTTGTATGGAGTCCTTTGGGGTTCTATACGCCATGTTACATCTAGAGGGTACCCATGGGTTGTGACACTTAGATTGTTTATCATCTATCTTTGGACAAGATATATTAGATAATATTTCGAGACTACTATCTTTAAAAAGTTGATGTTCACTTATAAAATGTATAGGTGTAGCATTGAATACACCTTGCCTATTATCTTCTATGAGATAGTTATCCCACAAGCTTTTTAATGTGCCAATAATCCCAACTCTAATTAATATGGTAGCTTTGTTTATCTGATAAATTTTTCATTTTATATGCAGTAATGACATCCATCTCATCAAAATGTTGATTAAAGTCAATACTTACAAACAAATACCAAACAAAACACTAAAAGCCACCAACTCATCTCGAAAGCCTTGGGAACCAAACCAAAGGTCGTTCTAGATGAAACTCGACATTCCGAAGCTAACTACATTGACATAATTTCCATCCAAGTGTGTTTACCAAAAATGTTTACCGAAGTTAAGCTTTTGCCAAAACTCAAAAGACGCCTAATGGCACAAACTCAAAATGAAATTATTCAAAACGTGAACGAACAATCTCATCAAACCAAAATGACCCTACCTTTTGACTTAAGTCAACTCTTTCATGCCAAAAGTGTCCGAAATGGAAAAAAGAAGTCAAAATTACCCGATCACCTCGGGAAGCATGCCATCCAATCTATCACCCTACAAAAAGCTTTAAAGAAGCTACGGAAAAGAGAAAAACATTAAAAGCATACATAATAGAAAAATGACCTAGAGGTTCATTAATATTGATTATTATTTCTAAATGTACTTGAAATAAACTAAAAATACTCCGGTAAGCGTGTCATCCAATCCATCACCCTACAAAAGCTTTAAAGAAGCTACGGAAAAGAGAAAAACATTAAAAGCATACAAAAATAGAAAAATGACCTCGAGGTTCATTATTATTGATTATTATTTCAAAAGTTACTTGAAATAAACTAAAAAGCACTTATTTTAGGATGAAGGGGGTACGAAATTGAATAAAATTAAATTTGATGTCATGATAACGCATTTAGATACTTTTAGAAAGTATTATTACTCTTTTGATCTTATATTATTTGTTAGCTTTACGAAAAATATTCGTCCTAATAATTTTTAATTTACAAAATCAAGATAAAAATTAATCATTTTTTCTTATATTAACGTAAATAAGATAGGTAAATGTTATTCTTAAATGAAGTCTAATTTATTGAAGAATGTTAAGGAACAAATAATAAAGAATACCTTTTACTTATCATTTCTTAATATAGTTCTATATAAAAAATGTGATCACTAATACTAGATAGGGGAAGGAAGTAATTTGAAAATCCCTTTTGAGATAATCAAATCACTATAGTTCTAATAAATAATACGTAGATGGGTTTTCTTGAGTACTATGTATACACATAGGAAACTAGAAAAAACAAAACAAACATAAAAAAGTAATGGTAAAAGTTGGTCTAATGAAGTATTTCAGACGAATACTATTTCTTACGTAAAACAAATAGAATTTAACAACCCC